CCAAACCCCTCTAACCTCCAACACGTCCCGATGCTTGACGGATAGCTCGCTGCTGTTTCGGGCCAGGAAGTCGTAATTGCACAGGACCCACTTCCCCGCCGGCTGCGGCTCTGGCTGGGGCTCAGCTTCTGACTCCGCATCTTGGTGACTGAGGAGAAGGGGGAGGGTTGGGGGTAGGAGGCAGCCAGCCCCACTGCTCTGGGCTGCAGGGTGTTGGTGTGATTTGGGGTTAGAGCCAAGCAGGGGCCGAGGCAGGGGGCCAAGTTAGTACTGTTAGTAGGGACCTAACATTGGAAAAACAGCTGGTGTATATTTGGCTTCTTATGTGCCTAGGAACGTGGGGTATGGGTGCCAGATCACCTCAGCTCTATAGATGAGAGCATTCGGGCTAAGAAAGGTACAATGTCCCAGGTCACACAGCTGGCAACAGCTGCGATTTATTGAGCATCTACTAAGTACTGGGCTTATGATAATGATAACTCACAGTCATAATAAAAACAATAGTGCCTGGCCGGGTGTGGCTCAGCAGCTGAGCGTCGACCTAGGATCCAGGCTATCAGGGTTTGGTCAGGGCACAAGCCCGGGTTGCGGGCTCGATCCCCAGTCAGGGGCGTGCAGGAGGCAGCCGATCAATGACTCTCTCATCATTGANGTCAGGGCACAAGCCCGGGTTGCAGGCTCGATCCCCAGTCAGGGGCGTGCAGGAGGCAGCCGATCAATGACTCTCTCATCATTGATGTTTCTATCTCTCTCTCCCTCTCCCTTCCTCTCTCTGAAATCAATAAAGATATATTTTTTGAAAAACACAAAAAAAGTATATGGCTGATGTGGGATAGTGGTTAGAGCACTGGCCTGTGCACCGGAGGGTAGCGAGTTTGATTCCCGGTCAAGGGCATGTACCTGGGTTGCAGGTCTGATCCCTACCCCCAGTCGGGGTGCCAGTGGGAGGCAACCAATCGATGTGTCTTTCTCACACCGATATTTCTCTCTCCTCTCTTCCCTCCACCCTCCCTTCTACTCTCTAAAAATCAATGGAAAAAATATCCCCACTCCTTGGGTGATTATTATTATTATTTCCATTTTACAGGTGGGGAAGTGGAGGAACAGTGATGAGAGGTGACCACTGATGTAAAGGCTTCAGAGCAAGAAGGGCCACAGCCGGCCTGGAACCCAGGCAGGCTGGCCCCAGAGTCATGTCCTGAGCAGTTCTGCCCTCCTGTGCGTGCGGCTAGATGTGAACCTGGGCTCTGCCGCGGCCTAGAGCTCCTAACTGACAACCTGCACAACCTCATGGATGTCTCACTCTTCCAGGAAGGGATTACTATTCCCATTTTTCCCTTCAAACAACTGGAGGCACAGGGAAGGTAAGTTAAAAGCCGGGGCTGTCAGAAGCACAGGGGTGGGGGCAGGTTCCATGAGACCAGGCAGCTGGGGGAAAAGGAGTGGGATTTGGGCTCCGAGCTCCCCCCAGTAAGAAGGACCTCAGCCCTGATCAGACCTACCTGTGCAAGGGAGGGGGGATCTTCAGGGCCACGGCGCCCCCTGTGTGGGGCAGGCAGCTCCCAGCACGCTGTCCCTGCTGAGACCCTCTGCCCGGGCCCTTACCCAGACCCCCCCTTCTGTTCCTCCAGCCTTGCTGCTTGTTGTCCTGTCATCCTACTCAGCTTCCCTCCCATTTGCCCCCAACTTGCCCAGGGACCCTAGAATCCTGGCCCCTCTCTCCCCTTCTTCCCCCAGGCCCCAAGAGTCTGCATCCCCCATTACTTGTTGGAATCATAAAATTGAACCCCCAGTTCTTTCCTCCCTCAGAGACCCAGGAGTCCAGGTCTTAAGCTTTAATTTCGTCTCCCTTTTAACCCTTAAAGGCTCCCAGCCTGACACCCAGCAGGGACTGAGACAATTGCTGCAAAGCCTTGGGAAAGCAAGGGTCCAGCCTCCTGGCCTTTACCTCTGTCAGGAGCCCAGAGAGACTACCGCTTCCTGACTTTCCCAAAAACCTGCCCCTCAGCCCTTGCAGTCCCGAGCCTGCATCTCTGGATCTCCAAGGTCTCAGACTTGAGCTCTTTCTTAAAACCCAAATGTTTACTCCCAGCCTCTTCCCTCCAACACCCAGGGCTCTGTCCCAGTAGGGACCCAAGCATGGAGCTTCCCAGATCCTGGGAAACCTAAGTGCCTTCTCCCAGCCTTTTGGGGACTCAGGGTCCAACTCTCAAGACTTTACCCACACTCAGCCCCCTCCTCCCTCAGACCCTGGAATCTGGGCCTCCAGCCCCCTCTTCCCTCAGACCCTGGTATCTGGGCCTCCAGCCCCCTCCTCCCTCAGACCCTGGATCTGGGCCTCCAGCCCCCTCCTCCCTCAGACCCTGGAAACTGGGCCTCCAGCCCCCTCCTCCCTCAGACCCTGGTATCTGGGCCTCCAGCCCCCTCTTCCCTCAGACCCTGGTATCTGGGCCTCCAGTCCCCTCCTCCCTCAGACCCTGGAATCTGGGCCTCCAGCCCCCTCCTCCCTCAGACCCTGGAATCTGGGCCTCCAGCCCCCTCTTCCCT